TTGAGATATTCTGAGGAGCTCATATCCTTTGTGTATTTTTGGGTGTATGAGAATGCTAAGACTACAAAACTAGAACTTTAGACCTGGAACTTAATGCTTGTCATTGGTATTCTTTCCCAATCTACAATGATCTTGTTCTCAATCTCTTTTTGCCTTTTTTCCCCTTTACGAATTCACTATTTAAGGCTTACAACTAATCAAATGGTTAAGGGATAGTTGTTATCTTTAGAGGTCTCGACTTTAAGTACGACGTCTACAGAAATATTTGGACGTTCATTGTCAAATGATCAAGAGCTTTTCGAACAAATACTACCTTATAATCGCCAAGACTACTTAAAAAAATAAAAATAGAAAACATAACATGTATCAATCATCATAACAAGTGTGCAAACAAGTATTGATTCCTAATCTGTCATGCCTTCCATTTTTATCCTCTATCTTCCATTATGATTCACAAAAACCAAGTGATCTTAGATAAGAACACACCTCCACTAGTATCCTCTCTCTCTCTCTCTCTCTCTCTCTCTCTCTTCACTTCTTCAATCTATTTCCATGTAATACAAATTGTCAACACGGAAAATGTAGGAAGGAATGAGTAGTCTTTATAATCGGGTCTAGACCTTTCTCTGAAACTTGGACCACATATTTTCTTTGTCTATATAAATGACTCAAGCCTCTACTACCTTTTATTCAAGAAATTCCCCTTATGAAAGTATTCTCAACCAGAGAGAGATCCCCCACTTCATTTCAAACACAATATATAATAATAAAAGTTGCCATGGTGTGTTCTTACGTTCTGATTCCTTTTCTTACTTTATGTCCGGGCTTTGCCACTTGTTTCTAATCCAGTTCTTGGTCCGACGTCGTTGCAGGAAGATGGACGACAGTTGAACACATGGGAAGGGTATGTGAATTGGAGGAATAGACCTGTCATGAGAGACCAGCACGGTGGCATGATTGCAGCCTCCTTTGTCTTAGGTCAGTTCTTTGTCTTGTACATGTCTTATTTTTTACGTTAATATCGCATTAGTTATTTTTCCGATAATATCGCGTTAGTTATTTTTCCGCTTATGAATTCCTAACATATTTGCTATGCTTTTTGTAAGCTTCCAAGGTCATACAAAAGTAGACAACTTGGTTTTTGCTAAACCAACGGTTTAGATATTGTAAATTCAATAGACAACTTGTGTTATCTTTGTTATATTTTAGTGGTGGAGATACTGGAGAATCTGGCTTTCCTGGCCAATGCGAGCAACCTCGTGCTGTACCTTTCCAAGTTCATGCACTATTCTCCATCTAGCTCTGCAAACATTGTTACCAATTTCATGGGAACGGCATTCCTGCTTGCTCTCCTTGGTGGCTTTTTATCAGATGCTTTCTTCACCACCTATCGACTCTATTTGACGAGTGCTGCAATAGAATTCGTGGTAAGAATCTAACAGTAAAGATTGAAACATGATAATCAAAAAAGCACAAAAGCTGTTACCAGCTGGGGTACAAGTTGGTAAAGAGAACACCTAATTAGCTTTCTCGAACTATGTTGCTCCGACTCGTATTTTTGTTGAAGTACTCGTATTTAACCTCCAAGGATCCTCCAAATACAAGTAAAAGCATAAAAAAAACCCCGCACTCGAGTCTAATTAACACAGTTTGCAGGTCCTTTTTTTTGGTAAGGTGTAGAACACAGTTGAGGAAATCATCATCTGATTATTATTTCAAGCAGGATGAAGCATTCAATGCTCCATTCATCTAGAAGCATGTGTGAACAATACTGCAGTGTCTCTAGGCCCACCTGATGATGTCCCTACCTGCAATTAACACATTATCAATTGGCTCGCCAAGACATTGCAAGCCTAACCAATAATGACACTTGAAAAAATGTGGTGGGGAATGTGGGAAAAAGATTGAAAGTGTTAATTTGGCCTGTACTAGCATTGTGCCGGCTTGGTCCCACAAATGAATCTGCCTTTCCCTTAGAGAAATCTGATTGGTGGAAGAGAAAAATTCCCAATCTAATGAGTCCGCTTCAATTGAATTCAGATGGTAGGGACTTTGTGTTTTCTTTATTCTCTGATATTATTTACTTGACTTTAACAGGGCCTGTTAATACTCACAGTGCAAGCTCACATGCCTTCGTTGAAACCACCAGTTTGTGCTTTCACAAGCACTGAAATCCCGTGCGAGAAAGCCAATGGACATAAAGAAACCATGTTATTTATCGGCCTTTATCTAGTGGCACTAGGTGTTGGTGGAATAAAAGGTTCACTTCCCCCTCATGGAGCTGAGCAATTCGATGATACCACACCGCAAGGGAGGAAGCAGAGATCGTCATTCTTCAATTACTTCGTTTTCTGCCTTTCTTGTGGAGGATTAATTGCGGTGACATTCGTGATATGGATTGAAGACAACAAAGGCTGGAAATGGGGCTTCGGTGTTGCTACTGTGGCGATACTGACTTCAATCCCCGTTTTCCTTCTTGGCTCTCCTATTTACAGAACAAAGATACCTGCTGGAAGCCCCATTACAACAATGTTTAAGGTAGAACTTGAACGAATAATTAAGTCTACAAAAAGCACTGCAAGTTGCAAAGCTAGAGCTTGACCAATTGATATCTCCAACAGGTTTTATTTGCAGCAGTTTACAACAATTGCAAGTCTAAGAATCCAAATAATGAAGTCATTGGCATGGAGACAACTACGAGTCCATCAACCGATAGTATCGAAACCGGTAAAGAAGAGAGTGATGCACAGGTGAAGGTCCCAAGTCAGACTCTTACAGAGGACCTCAAGTTCCTAAATAAAGCAATCGCAGAAAAACCGGTTAGCCCGATGTTACAATGTACTGTAAAGGAAGTAGAAGAGGTGAAGGTAGTGCTAAGGATAATCCCAGTTTTTATGTGCACTATAATGCTCAACTGCTGCCTTGCTCAGCTCTCTACGTTTTCTGTCCAACAAGCAGCCACCATGAACACCAAGATTGGTTCCTTAAAAGTTCCACCAGCTTCTCTACCCGTCTTCCCTATCATCTTCGTGATGATCATCGCACCGACCTATAACCATGTCATTGTTCCATTTGCCAGGAAAGTGACCAAGACTGAAATGGGAATCACTCATCTCCAGAGAATAGGAACAGGGCTGATTCTATCTATCGTTGCGATGGCAATGGCAGCTCTAGTGGAAATAAAGAGAAAAAAAGTAGCAGTTGAGTCGGGACTACTCGATTCTGCCGAGCCTCTACCAATCACGTTCCTCTGGATAGCTCTCCAATACCTGTTCCTCGGATCAGCTGATCTCTTCACCTTAGCTGGAATGATGGAATTCTTCTTCACCGAGGCCCCAACAAGCATGAGATCCTTGGCCACTTCCCTTTCTTGGGCTTCACTTTCCATGGGATACTATTTCAGTTCAGTCCTTATATCAATAGTCAAAAATGTCACCAGCATCGTTCGACACACAACGTGGCTTGCAGGTAGCAACTTGAATCACTACCACCTAGAGAGGTTCTACTGGTTGATGTGCGTACTCAGCGGTCTAAATTTCTTCCATTACCTCTTCTGGGCAAACCGTTACAAGTACAGAACTTGAAGCTCGGCCAATTGATCAAAGATTCGAACTTTGGAAATGTCTAGAGGCGTACTAGTTGTTGTCAACCGAATTCATCAGATGTACAATCCATATCATGTGAGTGATTAATGCCATTAGAGGGGGACATGAAAGTCATGTACAAACCAATGAGCTAATAAACGAGTGAATAATTTGCCATAACACATATCTTGCTTACTATACAAGAGAAACACCATACCTCCAACAAAAAATTATTCGCCTACTATACTTGTTTATAATAGATATAATAGTATTATCGTGTCGAACATATAATTTTATGAAATTATTATGTTTTATGTAATTAAAACATAGAATCAAAAGGGAAATCTCAGCTTATTCCCTGTTTGATTGATCTGAAGAAGCAATCTATGTTGAGTATCTGAAAAATGGGAAAATATTGGAATAAATGAATTGTTGTAGTCAAATACGACTAACATATTTGGTTGTGGTCCTGCAATTTGAATGTACTTCCCTGGTAATTGACAAGTCGTTTTTCCTTGCTTTCTAGGGAATTCAGCAATTCAACATTAATTGAAACATTAACACTTGCATGTGTCTACTCAATTCTGATGTACACAAAAACAACACATTCGCAACTTGCAAGGTGAATAAAGAAGATAGAAAGAACTACCCAAAGAGTTAAAAAATGAAGTAACCAGTTTACTTGGCAACGTACACATAACTAGTGTAAGTCAGGAACGTGGAAAATTGAACAAAATAAGTAGCAGCCCGAGTTCCGATCAACACACCGTTTTGGCTTTCAGAAAGTTTGTTTTATATATCATACACTTAATGTACAGTTCTACAGCGAACTGGGGATGTAGCTCAGATGGTAGAGCGCTCGCTTAGCATGCGAGAGGTACGGGGATCGATACCCCGCATCTCCACTTTTTTTTTCATTCCATTATATTTATGGACTTTGCTTAAAGAGAAGCATTAGTTAGGGTTTTCATTTGCTTTTTCTTTCCTTTGTAGAGGGATAATGGGTTTTGATGTTTTTTGCCTGTTTAGTTGGTTCTTGGAGCCTTTTTCTCTAGTAGTTATGGTTTTCATCCATGAGCATAAAAGAACATGAACATGGTACACGTATTAAAAAATATCTCAAATATGATTGAAAAAATTGATATAACACCAACAAAATATAAACACAATACTCCAATTGCCTGGTTGATGACTTCCTCTTTCTGCAAATCTTGTCTCTTCTCCAAAATGAACACTTCTTGTTGACTGCAATTGTTTCCACAACATTAGCAGCTGCATGATGAATATAGCTTTAACTTCTGATCATTGAAGAAACACCCACCAACTTTGATTTTCGTTTCACATTATTTATCAGTAATACAATGGAACCTGTATGCATATTCCCACTCATTTCTTAGTTAATACTGTGTTTTTTTTGGCAACAAAATCAACCGAGTATAATGGATTGGATATTCTAGTTCTTGACAGCCATTGAAACTCCAATTCTTGGAATACTATTATGGTCCCTTAAATCCAGCTCCCCGGAAACGGAGACATACAGCTTTTGCCAAATTTCCTGCCGAAGAACGCCACTGACTTTGCCATCGGTATTCATTCGGGCCTTAACCAATGTAAACGGTAGCAGTGCATGCTGCGCTCCGAGTGTAAGCGTGGTTGCCTCCTCCGACATTTTATGCTTCAACTCGGCTGCGATTCCGGTCCTGGTCGGGGGGTTCAGCGGATGGTAAACTGATGCTTTCAAGCTGTCGAAACCATCACTCCTGCATTGTCCACAGATGCTAAGGTTTTCAATACATATATTCTAACAGAAATTAATTCTGTTTTCTTCTCTAGATATATATTAAATGCTCACAGCGTCAAGGAAGCAATAAGGAAGGCACAATTCAAGCTAAAACCAGTACTGAATTGGTTGAGTGTCCTTCTTGTTAGATCGATGCCCACGTCGGCTCCGAGAGAGAAAAAAGTGCTTCCTATTACACCCGAGATGTTTGCTACAGGATCGAATCTGTTTTGATTGTTTGCCTTCATTCCTAATCCTGCACTAAACCCCACATACTCACGCAAGTATTGCAGTTCTGCCTGTTAGGTGCAATCACCATTGCTGTAAGAATTAAGCACTCTGCATACTTATAATAGGATCATATGATCATATCTTATATTTATTGTGCATTACATTGTTAAAGATTCAGGTGACAAGTGAAGTCTAAACATATTACGTACGTACCTTGCTCGAATCCGGAATAATAACGCTAAAAACCGTGTTCAATCCTGGTAAAACCTCTTCAACTGTAAAGCCAATAAAAACTTTGGAAGTCAGGAAATGAAATATGAGTTGAATTTCCTGCAAACAACAACATATACTGAGTAATTCTTTAGCAACATGAGCTATTAAGGACTGCTATTTGTTATTCGGTACAGCTCGGGTAAGGAAAACGGTTGCAAATACCGGAATTCAAACTCCAATCTACTGAATGCTAGCTATCACCTAACGGTGCGTGTTGCATGACACTGATAGATTCACTAGTGTAACTGTTGATTTCATGTGTCCACACCATCTCCGTTGTGACAAGGACAGGAAAATTGATATGATGAACTCAGAAAATTCTATGAATATATATATATATATATATATAAATGGCCAAACGGAGATCAGATACCAGAAAGCAAACTTGAAAGATCAAAGAGATTAAGGGTGAGAAAAATTACGTTGACATGAGAAATTGAAACTCCAATCATAACTTTGGTCGCGACCCTGTAGTGGTCGGTGTTGTTCAGCTTGACCATAATCCTTGTAAAGAACATCTATCAGAAGATTCAGAATGGTAAGAATGAATGAAGAAGATCAAACAATTTCTAAATCTGCATTAAACAAATGTTATAACCAAACCTCTAGCTTTTCTGCCTATGGCAAAGTATAAACCAGGATTCATGATAAAATATGGTGTTCAATCTTTTAAACACCGGATTTGAACTTGTATATTAAGCTGGTTTAATATTAAAATACATATATTTTAATGTTCCAGTAAAATATATTGAGAAGAATGAGAAGAATGTGCCAAAAGGGAAGCTTCCAAAGTAGTGACAAACAAAAAGATACCCCTGTATATGACGAAATTTCCAGGAACCAATAATACGGGTCCATGGAAAATGGCAGGCTAAAATCACCTCTCTCTCCATCTGGGATTTGCCTTTACTTTTGTTCCAAATTCAGTGGCAGCTTAATATGGATATACTATTTGATTTACTTTTCAATGGCACAACCCAGGTAGGAAAACAGGTTCTTCTACTTTTCAAGTTGATTATAATCATTAGACATTCAGCAATTTATGTCATCTTTTCAAGATACAGTAATAGATTTTTTTAACTATATTACTTGTGAATTTGAGGTGAATAGTGTATAATCCATCGAGTGGTCTTGATAAAAGAAAATGTTGTTCTTCCTAGAAAACTCTGGTTTGAATAGACTACTCAAGAAAAAATAATGAAGTGGATAAGTGTCAAAACACAAATTATTTTCAAATTATCGATTTTGACATATATATATATATATATATATATGAAGTTATTGCGAGTTGCATTAATAACATTGTATGATGATAAATTTATGAACAGACATGTAAACCAGATTGCTGGTTTGATCCAAACCATCGAGACACAAGAACCCCCAAAGAAAATGCCAAAACAAACGTTGCGGTAACATTGTTCTTAAGCAATTTGATAGCACTCTCCAATATTCCCCCCTCGTTTCCCATCTCATCATGTTCTTCAATAAATTGATCATCACTTAACTTGCTTCGTTCTTCATTCTCTGGATCATGGCAATCTCTCTCTTTGATTTTCCCCATTGTTGATTACTTCTTGTGAATGCTTTTCTGCAGTGATACTGGTCGTTTTCATCTTTTCCTATTCTCTTGGGAAAAGTGAGGCATAACGTTTCACCCTCAAAAGATTGATCGATCTTATTCATGTCTAGATTGTCTGCTAATTTCAAAGCTTGCCCGAAATATATGGATTTCTCAGCATTCACTATTCTTTCTCCACTGATTGTCACATAGCCTGGGTAAGCAAGCCCAACCATCACGTCCTCCTTTTCGAAACCTATATCAAGAAAAATACGACGTCGAAAGGAGGAGGAAGAAGAAGAAGAAGAAGATGAAACATGACTTGAGACAAGATATCATTAAGACTTTTAGTTTGTCTCTAGGATATACCAAAGGCATAAAAGGAAACATAGAGATAAAAGATGTTGAATTGTACCAGGAAGATGAATTAATAGATAATGCGCCATGGAGTCTTCAATCCATTTCACATGGGGAACCAACTCTTGAGCTGTTCTTGTTCCATGAACATCACCCATTATTGAAATTTTTAACAAATGTTCTAAATGAAGCATGATTAATATATGTAACAAACATTACAAGGTAAAAGAAATTTCCGGTATTTTCTTTTTATTTCTATTGATAATATGTTTTGGTCTCCTAAAATTTATAAATTCAATCTCTAACATAAAATTCCACGTTCATTCCAGTGAGACTAAAAAAATACTAATGTACATATGTACATCATGTCATTCAACTTTTCTTGTGAATGTGAAAGTATTGCATCTTTATTCCAAACTTGGCCCATGTTTGGACCTTGTTGTCTTGTTTTCCTACAGAGTTTATGTAACACCTCAAACCGATGTGGGTAGCCCGATCCGATTCGGGAAGTCACATTAGGGCCACCGGAGCGACCCACCGTAAAAATAGCGGAAATTTTAAAACTTTTTATCAGAACATGTAAACTTATAAAATCATTTACCACTATTTAAAAATAAAACAGATTTCCAAACTCGTATATAAATCAAAATACAATTACATGCCCCCTAATCACAAGTACCATACTCTACAACCACGCCGGAAGAACTCCCTTACTGAAGTCGATAGATGCACTGGTACAATTGTTTTAACCTGAAAAGGTGAGTAATAGAGTGAGCTTTGGAAAGCTCAGTAATACAAAACAACCAGATGATGCTACATGACATGTAGATAAATGGAAAGCCATATAATTTCCTTATTGAATCATACGTATACCAGCTTGCAGAATAATTTGGGGTTCCATTAAAAGTTCATCGAGTAGAAGCCATGAATCTCAGTTCATAAGAAACCTTTCAAAGTATGACATTTTCAGGAGATCGAATAGGATGTCTAGTGTGTTCCAACAGTATAATAAAATCATAATAGGTACAAATCATAGTCCAGTAAATCTCACAATTTCGTAAAAGAGTTTAACTTTTGAAAATCATAGTTTAAACCCTTTTCTGGTACACCATCAGTAGTTCCCAAAAATTATTTTCCATATAGCTTACTTTATGCACATAGCAAAAAGAAAGTCGACTTAAGGATAGGCTATGAAGCTTGTATCCTTAAGCCTAAGTCAATAAGTCCATATAGCTTACCCTAAGCACACAGTAAAGGAAAGCTGACCTAATGAAACATCTTGGGGCCCTCAAGAGTCACATTAGGCCCATTTAGCTTGATCAGAGCTATTCCATCGTAATTCAATTCCAAAATTCAATTGCACCGTGACATAAATTCCATAAATCCAAAAACATGGTAATCATATACCATTTCAAAACAAAAATTAAATAGCAGCCATATTCCATAAATTGTCACATTAAATTGGTGCATCCATAAAACAATAACCAATGAATTCAGTGTACCACATATTAAAACCAATAAAACAGTTCAGTAATAAGTAGGGAACACACTAGAGAATCCAAGTATTTCCAGAGGCCATTGTAGTTATCATTTTGGATAACATGAAACTTATGAAATTTGAACGAATTCCTGGAACAAGGTTCTATTGAGGAGAATCGATTACTAACCGATCTAGCCAGACATTTAATGTTGATACATTAGAATCCCACTATATTTTCGTGTGCTTTAGGAAAACGTTCAGGAACCTTTATACATAATAATTCTAAATTCAGATTTACTGCGAGTGATTCCATTACCCAAACAATCAGGGGTATTCAGGAATATACTTTAAATTCATAGGATTTCAGCCCAATTGAACCAAATGAGATATTCAGAATCTTTTCCATCTGCGTTACTTGTTTTTTTTTCAAACATGACCGAAGTGATTTTAGATGAAATATAGAATCGAAGATTCAAGTCATTTACAATCTACGACTATCGATCATATTATCAAACAACTCGAGTTACACAACTCTCAAACTGATGCATGTCAACAAGTCAACTCATTATCCTTCCAGTGTATTCACTCTTTAATACCATAGTGCAGATCCATAGATCATCCCCATAATCATCACTGAATAAATCTTCCAACGGTCTTTATTTCATTTCCACGTTTCAACAATATCAGGAAATACTGACGTACTTGATCCATGGATCATAACCCATAATGACAATCCATCATGTAAGTTCAACAGTGTTTCCAAACTCATCAAATCACCTATTTAATCCTTAGTCATTGATGTTACTTAGTTCGTTTGGTAAGCAAGTCTATCCCGATTACTTTAAAGTTTTCCAGAATAATTCAGACGTTTCTGAATTTCAAATACACGTTGTACTTCATTTCATTTCAATTTATTCATATAATAAAGTCATTCTGGTATTCGTGGTTGATTTGACTAACGACTACCCACTTATTAGTACTGTATGCGCTCTAGAGTTGAGCTGCGCCAAGTACTTCCAGAATTATCATCGATCCAAATTTGAGAAGATGAACAAACATTCAAGTGATACTTATATCATTCAGGTAATTAACGTTGATTAATCACTTAAGTTGCGTTCCATAACTTTTACTGGTAGCACAACATCCATGTTTATTTGGATTTCTTAATTAATCCAAGACATTTACTTATTCTAGGTCATAAGGGCATTTTGGTCATTTTGGTGCTTAACATTTTTTTCTATTCATTTCAAAGCTTGAGTATATCCATTCATTCCTGAGCTTGGTGACATTCTTGAGTCATTTCCATTCCAGGGGTAATTTGGTCATTTTATAATTCTAGAATATTTCAATCATTTCCTTCCATCCGGTCTTATTATTTAATTCAATCTTATCATTTACTTCAGTCCTTTCGAACAATTCTGTCAGCAGAATACCTCCGTTAAATTACTCTTCAAGTATTTACTCCTTATTCGAATATTTTCGGGTCAAGTGTCTTCTCAGATTTTACAAACGGAATATTATAAATTTTTCTGTACAAAGACAGGATCTTAACAATTAAATTCGTACTTAATCGAGTTAAGTACAAATCCTCAAAGTACTCTCTCATTCAGGGTCAATTCAGACTATTTTATCTCTCAAGGGCATTTTCGTAATTTCTTAACCAGATAAATTTCAATATTAGCTCTTAACGAAAACAATTATAATTTAGAGATCCTATGATCAATTGTTTTCCCGAACATTCTTTGATTTTGAAATGATTCCTTCACAAACTCTCATAGGATTAAAACCGGTTATCCATAATTTCCAAATAAAACTAACATTTCTTATGCACATCAGTAGTATATCGGATCAATATCTTTTCAGAGTTATTAACCAACTTCCAGTGGCAATTCTTATCATTTTCCAACATAAGGGTAATTTCGTAATTTTACCATATCGGAGTATTCTCATAATTTTTCATCCAAGTATCTTTAACATTTAACCCTTGATGATATAAAATATAAGTTACAAATCCAGAGCTGATTTCTTTATCACCAATCACAAACTTGTAATTTAATTCTAACAATTATCAATCTCTTATCTTAGTCATTCGATCCGTATTTAGTTACAGAATTTCTACCACATTCATATCGAGTGAATAAATTATTCAACTCCACAAAAGTGACCAACATTATCTTATTCATACATTTACCAATATCAACATGTTCCATAAAGCATAAAGAGGTAGTAAAGTATTATCTCGATTTTCCGTGCCATATCGATCGACCATTTAAATTCCATTTGAACGCCCTCGATCTTTAATTTAACTTCCAATATTTTCCTCACGATCCAGGCCATCAAAATTATTAACTCGTATCCAAATAATTTCCCTCGCCATAAAGATAGCTTATTAGAATTTAAATAATAATTTGGAAACCCAATTTGTATAATAGAATACTTGTGGGTTACTTTAATAATTAATCACTAAAATTAGAGACTGGACCAAAATAATTTACACTATTGGGCCGTAAACAAAAACTAATGAAAATTAGGAGACAAGGCCAAGTTCTTACCATATGCTTCTTCGAAATTCCAAGCTGTAGGTGGAAATCAAATAAATTTGGCCCCACATTTGACATTGGAGATTGATAATGATTTGAATAGCCATGTGTTTGCAATGAATAAACAAAATGATAATGGAATGGTCTCCACGGCAAATGCAACAATTGAAAATGCATTGGATCCCACGACAATTTCAGCACCGAAAGTAATTGATAATTCATTGGCCCCCACGGCAATTGCAGGACCGAAAGTCACATTGGATTTTCCTTTGTTCGAGTGATTGCATCGTCCACCTCTTTTCTCACTTCCTTCTCGATGTCCTTCAACTCTTTCTCAGAAGCTAGGTTATGGGATAATATCAACTTCCTAATTCTTTCAATTGGATCACGCTCATGCCTAACACCACTAATCTCATCACGTGTTATATAGGTACTTCCAAGATCAAACATGGAGCGACCATGATACCTACAGGTGTGTGTCCATTTCAAGAATTATTGGTCCACTCTTCAAGGCATGTTCTTTAGCAAACTTGCAAGCTTGCTTCACAGCGAGGGCATACATACCATCCACCTTCAAACCATGAACAAAATCCACACGTTTGTAATACGCTGGACTCTTCGAGGCTTTCCACTCGACTGGCCCCTTTAGCTCTGAAACGAAAACTTCCAGCAGGGTGTTACCACGGCCCATGAATGTGCAGTGATCACAATAGGTGGTTAAAACATAAGGTATCCATAAACAATTATCAAAAACAAGTTCCCAAGGGCCGTGGTGGTGTAGGTAAGAACCCATAGGTCTGTTCACACATTTACTTGGCTGAAACTGGAGGTTTGAATATGAGGTACGGCGGATTTTTTTAAGGTGGATATTCGTCGGAAACAAGATCGGTCAGAGATGATGAACATCCTGCGATGAAATGTGCATTCGATGAAGAAGAAGAGAGACATGGAGGAGGAGGAAGAAGAAGAGAGATATGGAGGAGGAAGATGAGAAGGAGCAATAAATGTTGTGGAGCCATTTTCTTTCTTTTGTCAACTAATTAAGCTGTGAATCAACAAGTAGGAAATAAAATAAAATTTCCTCTAAGCTGGAAAACGATAGATTCAAGGGTGGCAATGCATTATCCTTAATTTATTCT